CTTAATACACCTTGTGAGAAAGGTGAGATGGTTGGTATAGCGTGCGAGCTTGTGTGAGCAACGCTCATGTCGACGAATCAACGTTGGGGCTGTGCGCCCATATTTCTGGTCAACATTTCTGGTCATATTTCTGGTACAGCGGACCACTGAGGGAACAGCTACTCGCCGGAACAATGGAACAATAGGAGGATTGAAATGCGCCAATCACAGCCGACCTTTGTGATATAAATGATACTGTGCAATCAGTTGACCTTATCGCCTGAAGACTAGCAGTAAGCAGTCGAAACGTCGCGATCTACATCTCAAGTGACTACATCGTGAGACAAACGATAATACACTTTATTATTGATAACAGTTGCGTACATAATGTAATGAAAGCTGAAAAAAAAATCAGGCTTGGACAATTAACAGGATTCATAGCCTTGACAGACGTGCAGGGTTCAAATCCTCTTCAAGACTGAATTTTTTCAAACTTAATAAGTTGTGTATGTAACTGTGATGATCATTCATGTCTTTACAATGTTTATTACGCNCCTTATCGCCTGAAGACTAGCAGTAAGCAGTCGAAACGTCGCGATCTACATCTCAAGTGACTACATCGTGAGACAAACGATAATACGCTTTATTATTGATGCCAATTATTGACATTAATGTTGCGAACATTTTAATTTGTTAAATCCAGAACCCAAGAACCATTCAATATTCCCTACAGTGTCCTTTTAATGTGTGTTTTATTTCTTGTACCATCTTATGATTTTTGTGTGATGAAGGGGGAGGGGGAGACCTGGTCACACACTAATGAAGCCTAAAAGCATCTATTAGTAATATTTATTGTATTGCTCCACAATACATGCATATCCTTGTTTGACACCCCTTACCCCTCCTGTAGCCCTGTGGGAATTCCACTTTATTGTTTATATTCTTTCCTTTGAAAGCTTTGGCCTTTGAGACACCTTCCCATAAGAGTTTCCAATCAATTTATTTTATTAAGAAATAGAAAACATGCATTGTGTTTCTATTGAGTTTTGGTATATTAATGATAATCTACTAATGTTCTATCGCAAATGCCCCTCTCTGATTGGCTATGCTACTCACTATCTATTCTGTGATAGACAGGGAGTAGCGTAGTAGTGTGCCCTTGTTAACAAAATGACAGCCACTTCTTAACGTTTTCAAAGTGTCTGTACTGTGAAGAGGATTTAGATAAAGTTTTGGACAACTAGTAGATTTATACTAAAACAATAATGAATAAGTGAATAACCTAATTATTAGGTTATTCACTTTCGATTTCTATGCGTTATAGCTACTTGGGCTGTGCTGTCGTGAACTACCTCGCAACAAAAATCTTGAGTTCATGATCTAATTGTTTAATAGAAACATGATTTTAAACCAATCAGCGTGCATATTTTATTTGGGCTATTTTCTTAAGAAGCATAAAGTGCTGGCTAGTCATAAAAAAGAAGCACAATTTGATTTGTTTTCTTCATGTCTTTTAATTCAATTTTAATAAGTTCTTTATCAGCAACACTCATTTAAGACTAAATTAATTTGAGTGACAAGAAAAGCTATCATGACACATCATGATACCCTTATAGGCCTACCTTTCTAATATGAGCTGTATTTCTGTGGGAAAAGGGTTGCCTACTCCTAGGCGTTCATGGTCAATTGATTGCAGAGACATATCCAAGACCAACGGTCCGGAGTACACCTTTCCCCTTGGACCACTTGACCCGAAACAATCAACTGCGGCAAAATATTAACGCCTAGGTACTAAACAAGGGCAAGCTAGTGCAAGGGTATACCGGACTACTCTCATATGGGATAAGGATCATGGATTAATTCTAGGTCAGATACGAGGTACTTGTATACATTTTTTTCTGCTTTCTAGAATTTACCTTTTTTGGCATCATTTTCAGGGATGATAATATTACATAGGCCAAACACATGACCCCAGTGCACATAAAACAATGTGGGGTGTCCCCCACTCCAAGTACAGTCACGTGCATTAACTTGAGGCTGCTCTTACATACCTTCTGGTGATGAATGTCATTAATTATTCCCATCAAAGCAGCCAGTAAACAGAAACCAAGGCAAGCAAAGAGGATCATGGAAGAATATTTGTAAAAAATCTGTGTACATATAAAAAGATTCAGGAATGCAACAAAATGCAGCATGTGTAGTGACTGATTTTAAGATACACATATAAGCCACGGGGGTCTCTACAAATCATTCACCAACATAGCATGAAGGGCCCACTAGCTGTAAGGTGGGAGCCATTTACCTAAAATCATAGGCCTGCAATGCGTGCAAGGACCTATAAAGTTGAACAGCTTTGCATATACTGTGGTATTGGTAGCAGATGATGATAATTTTGAGATTTTTCCAAGTATACTAACTCTTACTAAAAAGATAAGCTTAATTTGCAATTTTAATTAATTAATTAATTAATTAATTAATTACCAATGATGGAATTGCAGACCAAACCTTCTCAAACTCATTAATAATTCATCAAGTTTAAACAAAGGAAATCATGACCGTGACGGTGTTTGGATATCTGATCTTAATTAGCATAGATTTTTACAATTTTATTTCTCCATTTTCTCCTTAGTTTTAGTTTTGATTGAGAAGATTTATCAAACACTCAAGACAGTGTTTGACCACATTTCCAAACACCTCAAAGTTTGTCAAAAATACTCTGCTACGCATCGTATTTTCAAGTCTCTTCTTGGTGTTTGGAAATGTGGTCAAACACAGTCTAAACCGTCTTTCATGTTTGATATATTACATCAAAAATTGCATCACACAATTTTCATAGGCGAGACCCTCTCAAAATTGTGTACATATTGCTTTTCAAAGAAAAAATAAAAGACATTTTGAGATGGGCCTCAAGTTATTGTGACGGGTGCATTAATCGTACAAGATCGACACGACGTGATACTGGTTGCCACATTGTCACATCACCCCCACCCAGCTTGTATTAAGTACAAATGACTACCTTCATGGTGTCCTCATACGAGAACATACATGTATGTTTTATTAGTGTGCATAAAAAAAAATGAGAGACCTTTGCCAGTACTCAAAAATTATTCAGAGATCTATATAAATTAATTTCATATACATTTGCACCAAAAATATTGTCCAGTTGACATCAAACATCTACAGTGCAACTTACAAAATTACCTTGATGACAGGTTTTGTCAGGGTATTCCCATTAGTTTTGCTTTTTTGTTCAAATTCTTTATCTGCAAATTGATAAAATAAGAAAAATGTCAAAACTTTTTTGTAAGACTCAGACCCAGACAGAGAGAGGCACTGAGAATGTAGTCATCTTCTCGCTCAAACACACAACAGAAACCTCCTGGCTAGGCTCAAATTTGGATCTGGATCTCAATCTGGAGTTTGCCACACAAACCCCATACTAATTAAGGTCCTTTAACTTTCCTACATTTCTCCTCTAAAATGAAAGTTATTTTGAATCCAAATATGAGCATGATGTTTAATTTGAGTACTATTTAAAATACACCAGAAAAGTCATAACTGTCATTTACATATATTACACCATTTACAGTCAGAGTTAGGTACTGATGAAAAGAGAAACATGAATGACCTAAAAAATTCTGGCCCCATTTTGTACGAATACAAAAAATCCAAAAAATATATCAAACTCCCCCCTTCTTCCCCCCAAAAATTACTAAGTAAACTTAAAAGAAAAAAACATGAGATATGTCAAAAAAACACTGGGTCAAAGTATTTATGACCCCAGATTGTGACCCCAGAAAGTACAGCTCATGTAAAAACCACTGACTGCAGGTGACAAAAAAAATGGCTCTTTATTAGACTCTGTCCCATCAGTGCATCATGTAGTTATCAAAAAAATTATTTACTTTCAAGAAAACCCTATGTTTCAAATTATACCTACCAGAAGAAATATCACCCGGATTGTCTAAGCCTGAAAAACGATAATTTTTATTTGTTAGGATATTGCTGGTTTGAAGCTAATCCTGAGGGATTTAATTGACACAGGTTTAAGGTAGCCATGGTGAATATACAAACAAAAGAAGCTAAATAAAACTATCTTTTATACATGTACATAAATATGTCATCTGGCCTCATGGCTATGATTTCGTGAAAATCAAGAATTGACAACTTACTATCTCTTCCCTTTGAACTGTTCTGAAGTTTTGCTAGTTACAGTAATAATTTCTCTCCAACTGCACATGCAGCAGAAAACACTGCACAGCATTTTTCATTGTGTTGCTTGTCAAAGAATTTAACAACTTATGTTATCAGCAACACCAATCCAAACACAGATTGGAGCTGTACATAGTAAAAGTCATGTCTCAGACACTGCTCTTAAGTGGTAAAAAAATTGCAGTTGCCCGAAGAAACACATCTGAAAGCTTAGAGTCACAAAAACAACACCTTACAAGACTGTGAATCATTGCTATTCTGTAATGCTGCTGCCACTGTTATCTTTATTGTCTTATAACGGGTAGCTAGACCATTTGATTACTGGGAAGTGAGAGGAGCCAGTTCCACCCCTCCCCCATCCCCGCCATTTCCATTTCACCACGCCCACGACAAAAGAGAAATCCTGCGAGTAAACGGCAACCGGAGCTCATATTAGGTTTTGTGATGCACAAAAGAATTCCTGTACTTACCATACAAGTGTTTGGGTTTATCGTCAAACATCGAAGTATTATGATTTAAAATCGGACTTTTGGAATGAATCGATTGCTCGCCAGTTTCCAGGTTATTATTGCTATCGTTGAAGTCATCGTTCACTTGTCGACTTGGTCGTTTTACTGTTCGAGTGGAGCTTGATGACCGTCTCTCCATTTCTGTCGATTCCCTTTTGTCAGGTGTACTTGTCAAAAGACTATTTCTTGCTCTATTTGTTTTTCTTGTAGTATCTACATCCTCTAAACTGTCTAACAGGTGTGAAAAGTAACAAAGTGAGCTATTGTTAAGTCTAACTATAGACACATCAAGCTTAAAACTAGTATTTTAGGTTAGAAAGTACGAAAATTATTCCTGTAATCCACGTCCCCCTTTTTGTTTGACCTAAAAAACATTAAGCAACAAACATCACTCGTATTATTAATTAATCTCCAAAGACAAGCTTATCTTAATCGGATGAAGCCGGACTCTCAGATTTAGATTTTCATTTACTGACCCTTGAAATTGCACTTAATAAGCTTGATTTTAAGATATGTTCTGGTAATGAAACAGAAAACCTGTTGCAGAGTGGAAAACCTTGCCTTTTAAATTGCATAAAATGCATTCAATTTTGTCATCATTCATAAGTTTATGTAAACATCAAGATAGTTTGAGCTATTTCTAACTGTCAAAATTCAAATTGCCAGTTGACTGAAAATTGAAACGTCCGTTAACTCCTTACCTATCATTACTGACAGATTCACATCCTTATCCATGGTCTTGGTTGAACGACGTGATCGCCGGGCGCTCATGGCTTGTGAATGTTACAAACTTCGCTTAGAATCGAGAGCAGGACGTTGTAGAGTAAAGACAAATATTGAAACCAAAAATTTACATCAGCTCGTGTGTTCATTCAACGCGCGAAATTCCGAGCCTCGCTTCAAAGTAACGAAGTTTTCCCCAAGGGTGGGGCAGGTATGCACGCTTTCAGGCGGTGATAACAAAACCTTTGTTATTTTAAACTACGTATCGTGAAATAAAAAATCCCATTAGATCTAATTTGACACGATTGTTGTCAGAATGAGAGAGAATAATAGAAGAATTGAAATGAACTCAACACAGGGACAAAATAAGGACTAAGAATTTCTGTTGGAGGCTTGGAGTCCATTAACAACTTCCAAAGCCAGTTCGTTTCATTTCAGTTAAGCTGGTACGTCGGTGAACATATTGAACACTTGGCTATTTTTCAACTTTGATAAAGTGTAAATTTTTCGTCCTGACGAGCTTGTGGTGCAAGCGTCCGCTCTTCGTCAAAGCAAAGTGAAATCTGACGAAGGGGGCTCATACGGCGCGAAACATCGGCATTTATGAACTTCAAATTGATAAATAGCCATCCGTTTAATTTCGAATTACCAGTCTCTTCAAATTTATCTTTCTTTCTTACAGCCAACGCTCTTGCCTTGGCATAGAAGTATTTCCCCCACAGTGTAATAAAACCAGACAGCGGGCCATATTTTATCTAAAAGCCCTGCAGGGGCAGGGCAGTAACTGGTAATGATCAAGTTCAACCAGTATGAGGATTACATATGAAACTCCGATTTGTTCACTTTCGGAAGAGTTTCTTCAAAGCGGCAATAGCTGGCAGTGATTGAATATTACAGAGAGAGGGACAAATTTTATCGAAAGACGAGGTAAAATGGGTGAGCGATTTTTGTATTTGGGAGTGATATATTAATAATAATTTTTTTTACGGGATTCATGGCTGTCATTTCGAGAAGACGGCATGCCAATTGCATGGGGACCGGCTTGAGTATAATGAGAAAGCCAAGGTAACTTTTTCATGTGATAACTTAGATTTTATTTTCTCCCAAGAGGGCACGGTAACCAATCCTGCAATCTGATTGGTTCTTAACGCTGTCCGGATTTTCCTATCTCTGACCACGGTCACGGTAACGGCGGGAAACAGCGCGGGTGAAATTGTCGTGTTGGTCAATTTTCGTGAGTGAACTAGC